ATTGGATTGCGAGGCTTCCGAATGTGTGATTAATATATCTCCAATGTTCATCGCGGAGAAGTGACATTATCGACATTATCTTACGTGCATGGGATAATAGCGTGAGGTGGTTGGAAATACGGCTGCTTTTTCTGGACGAATGTTGGAACACAATGAAAGTACTAAACATTACGTAGTCTACTGTGAAGTTGTCTTTCACGGAGGCCATGATCTGACCATCATTGACACAATCACTAGGTCTGCAAGAGAACTTCCAATAAAATCGCCAAGATTTAATTAATTTCCGTTACAAATAAACATTGTACGCGTTTTCCATGTACGCGTTTTCCATGTACGCGTTTTCCATGTACGCGTTTTCCATGTACGCGTGTACGTGTACGTGTACGCGTGTACGTGCACGCGTTTTCCAGACAACCTTACAAACATATTTGGAAGGATTTCAATGAGTATCGGCGATAAACAGCGTAGTAAAGTGGTGAATTTGGCCAAATACGTCCATTTGCAGGAGGTAGGTACATTTCAAATTGGATTGCGAGGCTTCCGAATGTGTGATTAATATATCTCCGAATGTGTGATTAATATATCTTGTTATAGCGGTAACAAAATATTAACTATTTTACATGAAAATAGTGATAATATACTTAGATAAGTACAAACTATGTTTCTATCAAAAATATTTTGGAAAAAAGGCAATGTTGGTTCATTGCTGTTAATCTGAAGTTGTAAGCTACAAATTGACATTTATTATGAGTATTGCATGGTCATTTTGTTGTGAAATTTCAGTGCTAGGCATTTCACACTTGCCAATGACCACCCCTAGAAGCACCATCTCTGAACCATATAAGCACCTCAGAATAGCCAAAGCTTTTATCGTTCGGTGGATAGCAGTATGGCAAAAGCGTCGTTTTTGGACGTGGTCGGTTTCGGACGGTTCGTCCCTTATTGGGGCTTGGGCAGCGTTACAAAGTTTAACGTTGTGGTCAGCTAGCACTAAAACAGTTGAGATTATCTGTCCTAAATGAAATGCATATACAAACTCATATACAGGCCCTAGACTATTATTGAGAAAGTTTTTTAATCGCAGCAGGTACTCCTATTCCGTATATTAGGTTTATCTTTTTTCGTGTTAAATATTTTGAGAGACTTTAAATTTTTGATAACTTTTTGCATGCATGAAACTAGGCCCTCACCGCAGCAGCTTCGTAAAGCAACTGAAAATTCCGTATTGTCCGTGGGCTGAATACCAGAGAATTTCCTGCCCCGTCGCCAACCAATTAAATTGCGCGATGAATCAAATCAAATACTTGTCATCATAATACCATTTGTTAAATTTAATACATCAAAATGCAAAACAACTACGAGTGTCTGATACACATCTAACAAACCAAAGGACTGGAAACTCCTGTTAAACTGGAAGATTCAGAAACTCCTGTCGTGAATTCATGAATCATTTAAATTAACGGAATGTTCTCTTACCTGGTCTGATGGGACCAATTTGAAAATCCTAGCAGAACTGCAAGAATTGAAAACTTCTGTCATGAATTTATGACCTATGTTATACCTAGTCTTCTTATACCTAGTACGAGGGAAACATTCCCCAACGAAGAAGACAATTCCCTTGTTATTTTTGCAGAACCTGGTTGGTTCTGGCGAAATGGAAGATTTAGAAACTCCTGTCTTGAACACACTTTTACCGTGATTCTTCCGGCTGAATGGCAAAACTATTCATTTCTTTACCCGTATGGTCCACGCAAAGAAGTTCCTCATGGAAGTTAAATTGTTAATTTAGTACTATAACAAACAACTACAAGTGTCTGATACAAATTTTGACAACCAAAATATTGGAAACTCTTGCCAAACTCAACGGTTTGAAAATCCTTAGCATGAATTTATAAACAATCTTTGTGAAATTTTCGTACCTGGTCTGGCGAAACTCTTTGAACTCGAAGAGGAAGATCCCCTGGTTCTTTCGGCTGCATGATCAAAATCAAAGTCTTCATTTAGTGACCTATGTGATCCACGCAAACACCTTTCTAAAAAAAGCAACCCAAAGCGGTATTATAATTAATAGTAATAACCTACTAAGTGACTTAGCGTTTGATATTTTTCCGTACAATCGGAGCAGTCGACGTTTTTTATTAAATTGCATTGTACATACGTTCGCAAAAACGTGAAAAACATGGTCACGCAAGTGTAAAGTGCAACTCCGGAATCAATTGCAAAATTTTGGCAATTGTAAAAATTATCTCTTTGTTAGTAAAACTACTATACAGCATGCCTTCTAATAGAATACGCAGGGCCGTAGCTAAACGCGATAATGGGGGTGGGGGTATATTCATGTATTCCTGTTCACATATCGTGAAAACAATCGCTTTCAAAAGAAATCCGTTGGGCAAAACGCAATTCTACCACAGATTCTACCAAACCGTAGTTACGTACTTCCGGTTAACATGAGATGCACGCTGTGTGTTGCCATGAGTCAGTACAAGTTGTGTAGCCATGAGACGAAGACGTTTACTTGGTTGACTGTTAATTGGACGTTCTTTAATTATTAAACGCGAGTGTTGGGAACTTTTTTCAGGTAATTATTTTCCAGTTTATTTGCTTTATTTGTTTTTATGCTTCAGGTTCTTTTTAAAATTGTGCAATGGAATACGAAATTCATTATTCAAACGAGTGCCGTAATAGTGAGGCGGATATGTGTAAAATTATTGTTCAGTAGTTCCCGTTGAGGTTAAAAGCATCAAACTTTTACAATTGATGTAGTTTTATTTGCTTAATAGATATTTGAAGTGGGGCCATGGAAACGGGTGATTAGTGATTTTCTTCTATTGAATTCTATTATAGCCAAAAAATGTGAAATTTTGTATTCAGTTACAACAAATATGACTTGCATCATCAGAAAGCTTATAAAAAAAACTGCATATAAGACGTTTAGACAGTTTTTTGATTTCTGAAATAGTTTTCGACTTATAAACTGTTAAAAACGCATTTTCAAACATCGAATAATTAATTAGAGAGATAATGTGCCTAATTTACAGCACTAACCATTTGAAGAATAACAAAACTTTTTAAAAGTCTTTTATGTAGTTTTTTACAAGCTTTCTGATAATGCAAGTTATATTAATTTGTCGCAATTGAATTCAAAATTTCACATTTTTTGCTGTACTAAGTAGAATTTAATAGCAAATAATGCTAATATATAGCATCGTAACTCTCTAAAAAAACAGTTTCACGATGGCCCCACTTTTGCATGTCGTTCTACTCATAAAAAGATGCTACTGTGCAGAATTTGGTGCTTTTAACCCTCTTCGGAAACATCCATGCACATATCCGCCACACTATAAGGCCTTTAAATTACTTCATCGACACGATAAAATATACTTGAGGTAAAGGCCTTACGAGTCGAGTCGATGAAGTAAAGGCCCAACAAAGTACTCCTCAAACTGTCTGAGCATGTCGTCTTTTATGAGCGACATCATTTCAGACATCATTGTAGCCATCGACTCTTTTAAATCAGTCGTATTATCTGTTGTCAAATCAACAGATTGTTCGGTGTTTGTCTCGTCCGTCATATTCACTAGTCACGTCATATTCGTCGTTTTAGCGACGTTTTGGGAAAGACGAAAGTTTTAGATTCCTATTGCAAAATCTATAAAGGGAATAAAAGTTATAGTTTTCCTGCGTCTATCTGCCAAATTTGAGGCTATCTTTGCGGCTTGAAGGGAAGACAGTTATAGTTCCCTTGTAGACGCGTACCGATCAAGCGTAACAAATGCGCCATACTATACATGGTGAATATCAATTCATTTCAGCTGTGAATATGACGGACCAGACAAACACCGAACAATCTGTTGATTTGACCACAGATAATACGACTGATTTAAAAGAGTCGATGGCTACAATGATGTCTGAAATGATGTCGCTCATGGAAGACGATATGCTCAGACAGTTGGAGGAGTACTTTGCCGCTCCCGAGCCTGAGGCAAACACTGCCGATGTTGAAGCAAACAGTGATCAACCTTCACCCGATGTGTCGGATGCCATCGAAAATTACCTACAGAATCCAGACCCTAATTCGACGTCGAGTGCATTTGACGAGTTAGCTGCTGAATTTTCTACCGGGACCGGCAATTGACGACAAACTGGCTAATATCATAAGTGATTTAGTCAAAGACACTTTGCGAAACTGGACGAGGTAATCAATAAATATCCTTAGCTCGCCCAAAGAATTGCGAAAGCCCGGTTGTACCAAAAGTTAACAAATTGTTTGGCAACAACTCAAGCAAAGTATCCGAACGACCGACACTCACATGCAGTGCCATGCAGAAGTGTCAAAAGTTATTTACCTCGGCAATGTATGCCATTATTGAAGCATGTGGGAAAGCCACGGGTGATGTTAGAACGATTTTAACACACGCTCTGGTTTTAGTCATGTCTGGCAACAGATAATTTAATCTCAGGCGACGCGAGTTACTGCGGCCCAGCCTTAATTCTCAATATACCACAATCCATATACCATAACCCCCAAATTGTTTAGGGACGATATAAGTAAAGAAATTACTGTAATCAGGTGGCCAAAGCTAACCAACTTGGTAATAAGCTTTCCAGTTCGCGGGCAACGTGGGCAACGATATCACCCGTATGCAGGATCACCATCGCCAAACTACAGCGGTACTGGGCCCATGAGAGGTCATGACAACAGAGCTCCCGTTCCTCGCAGTTTTCCGTCTTTTTTCGGAGGCAGAGGCTCCTATCGACGCCGACTGGGAGCCAAAATGGGTGCCACACAGACAAAACCCAGTCGAAACTAATCACTCCTCACCAGGTTAGTTAAAGGGAACAAATAGATAAATTAGTTAATAACACTGCACGAAAAATTGGATTTACCACTATAGGAAACACAGAGTACGTAAACTTGTAGATAATGCCGCATTTGCTCGTAAATATGAGCAAATGCGGCATTATCTCAAGTTTACGTACTCTGTGTTTCCTATAGTGGTAATCCAATTTTTCGTGCAGTGTAACCAACCACGTTTTGTTTGGGGACAGTTGAAGTTTCACGCAAAACAATGGCAGGACATTATATCCGGCCCCTTTGTTTTGCGTTGTGTTAGCAATTGTGCAATTGAATTTGATTATGAACCTATGCCAGCGAAACATATGTCAAATCCAGAATATAAATTTTCATGCGCAGAGCAACAGGCCATTGATAGCGAAATTGCGGAATTTTTGTCAAAAGACATTATTAAACTGTCAAGAAACTGGTAAAGTTCGAGTAATATTTAACCTTATAAGCATCTCAATGAAACTGTCACCTTGACCCAAATTTAGGTATCCCGCCTATTCGCGGGCGGGATGATTGACAGTACTGGGGGGAGGGACAAAAAGGACACAAAAACATGTGAGCGAATACGAACAACAAACGTTTGAGACGAGAGAGTTTAGTCGAAATTTTTACTTTGTTCTTATTTATTATATCATTTTTTACTTGTGTGTGAGTGTGATTGTGTGCCGAGTTACGGGTCGGTACAACCTATCGTAAATTTAAAATGGACACACTGGAATCAGCAATTAAATTAATGAAACCAGGCTGTTTCATGACTTCTATAGACTTTCATGATGCCTACTATAGCGTTCCTATCACGCCAGAACACAGAAGATATCTTAAATTTATGTGGCGAGCAGGGGCGCCGGAAGCAATGTGAAGCGGCGGGGGCAGCCATTTCAAAAGGCCACTTGCTTCTCAGCCATCATTTTTCTGAGCGGCAGTATTGGTTAAAACGTTACCAGTGGCGAAGCTAGAGGTCGTGCTAGTCGTGCTGAACACGGTCAAAAATAATTTTTTAGTCTTAAAAAAACTTCCCCAAAAATTTTAAAAATGATTCATCGCGTACACTTGCGTTATCTATTAAGTGCGAAATGCTTTCAAATCCGGTGATTTTGCCCTGATTTTAAACCAATTCAAGGTATGATTGTGTAGTTTCACCCGACCGCGGGTTAATATCACGACTAATGGGTAATCCGCCCGTTAGTCGTGCTCTCGTCAGGCGAGCACGACTAAATTATAAATTCACGCGCATTCTATTGGCTAAATTGCTCCTTGCGCATGCGTATCTTGCCGAATTTTGTCTTCTGGTCGTGCTCATCTTCAAAAGCACGACCAAGTTAAATGCCGTAAAATATTAATCAATTCTGTCGATCTTTATTCAAGTGATCTTGGTTATGTATCTATGGAAATTGACCAACGTCAATCGAGTGAATCGTAGGAAGGCCATGTTGATAGTATATATATAATTGGATAGAATATTTCTGGCTTCTAACAAGATATTTTAGCTCACGAAATGCATGTGAAAAGACTCGATTGTGTACTCTACTGTATATAATGGCGAATATAAACAAGATTTGTGAAGAACTTTCCTATTGATATAAATATATTTCCCAGCTAGACCAATTACGTTGTGCTAATGTTGTACGAACGTTCACCGAACGTGGAGATAACGTTGATATTATAAGTTGTAGTAACGTTATTTTGTGAACTCGCAGGAACGTGGTGACAACGTCAGGATTAACGTTAGAACACGACGTTGGTTCAACGTTCTTACAACGTTCGATTAATATTCACGCAAATGTATGTTGATTAATATTCACGCATATTCACCTGCAATGTCTTTACAGCGCAAAAAATGAGAAAAAAAAACAACATAACGAAGGCAATATGGCATTAAGAATTATTTCTATTCTGACTCATTAACGCGACCTCGCAGTGTGAAAAATAAGTACGTTATTTTGAGGCACCTCGGGGATATGTGATTTATTCACCTCGGCGCTGCGCGCCTCGGTGAATAAATCACATATCCCCTCGTTGCCCCAAAATAACCTATACGTAGTTTAAATTACAGAATTACCTGAACATGTAATATAAGGAAAATTTCGACGTTTCGAGTGAAGGCCTTCTAGAGTAAGTACATTGCTATGAAGGGCCTTAATTCGCTCGAAACGTCGTAATTCTTCTAGTTCTCGTTATATGTAGTTTCAGGTAGTTGCATCCCCACCTACACTGGCACAGACAGTTCAATATTTAATACAGTATACTAATTAGTCATTCTTGGATTTCATTGACAAATGAACGAGTACTCCTGAAATATATCTTCGATTCGAGAGAGGCGCTGTATTAAAAATGTAAATTAATATGGCGTCAAGCAAACATGCAAACACATGTTAAATATATTTTGATCGCCTATTTTTCCGTACATGAGATAGACACATGGAAGTTTTAAATGTATTAACAGATACAATATATATATAGTTACATCGAACACAAAACAGGCGAGCGAGTTCTTCTGAAATATACAGCAGCTTCGATGAGATTACAGAATCAGCATACATTTCAGTTGCGTCGCAAGCCAAGAACAATGGTGCAATCTTTTCAATTTGCCCGCGGCGCAAACACCTTACGTACATAGTCAGAATTACCATATTTGGTGAGTTGTTGATAAGCTGTCAAATACAAAGTCAAAGGCCTACTGTCTAGCTTAAAATTAGTTGGATAAAACTTTATTACAGTATCATAGGGAAATTTCCAGTAAGGACTAACCAATTCAAGGAGACGTTCCTCGCGGATTCCTGCTGAATAGGCATGCGAAGTCGGTGGCCGGACATTTTGCCGAAAGACACTTTGCCGAAAGACATTTTGCCGAAAGACATTTTGCCGAACGGACATTTTGCCGACGGACGTTTTGCCGAACGGACGTTTTGCCGAACGGGTATTTTGCCGAATGGACATTTTGGCGAACGGACAATTTGACGAACGGACATTTTGCCGAAAATAGAGATATCTTCTGAACTTTAAATGTTCGCTTATACACGGTCAAAGTTTCTGTGATTAAAGTTATTAATTATTGATTTTGTTGACAGAAACTTTGATAGTGAAGTATAGTTTCGTTTTATATTCTTTCAAGTTTTTGACAAGTTTACCGAAAATTCGCGATATAAAGAATAACATCATTCAACATCATTCATGGATGCGATTTCCCCGAGAACTGTGAATGTATTCAATGATTCTCGAAATGAAATTCGCTTACGTCGTCTTTATATACGCTTGTTTGTTTACGATCTGACGTCAAAACACGTTCCTAACAAATGAGTCATCCGCTGCACAAACAACTACCAATAGTCAATATGGTTATGCACTGCTAATGACCATTATATACACTGCTAAGGACCATTATGCACTGCTAATGACCATATAATGGTTATTTCACACAATGGTTGAGAATTAGACAGTTGAGAATTGAGTCACAGTCCCAAACATTTTGACGAAATAACATCTTTATTTTCGGCAAGTTGTCCTTTCGGCAAACTGCCCGTTCGGCAAAATGTCCGTTCGGAAAAATGTCCGTTCGGCAAAACGTCCGTTCGCAAAATGACCGTCGGCAAAATGTCCGTTCGGCAAAATGTCTTTCGGCAAAATGTCTTTCGGCAAAATGTCTTTCGGCAAAATGTCAGGGTACCTGCCAAGTCATATGGCCTGGTGTGCTTTTATACCTATACTATAGTTTAACTGTCAGGTTTAATAATAGAAGACATATGTTTAATTTTTTAGAACGTTGCGAAAATATCAAATCTTAACGTCAGGACGATGTTGTTTTCGACGTTGTTTTGATGTCATATCCAAACGTTACACATTAACGTTGCTACAACGTTAAAATCTAACATTGCTAAGAAAATATCGCATGACATCCTGGAACGTTAAATTTCAACGTTAAACCAACGTTTACACCACGTGCTCTTATTCCGGATAGAAAAGTAATGTTGTGTGAACGTCGTGTGAAAGTTAAGTTAGATCTAACTTTGCAACCACCTTTTACCAACGTTTTAATAACATTATTAGACTTGGATCAAGTCCGTCTCTCTAGAGTTGGAGTCGCGAAGCGACGAGATCGAGCGCGCCGCGAAGCGGCGCGCGAGGTGCAAGAGAGGAGGGAGAGACGGACTTGGCTCACTTGCAATGTTTCGAATCAGATTTATTATTTTGGCGGGAATTATGTTAATAGACAGGTGTTTTTAATTTAGCGGTTTTGTTACAAATACGGAAACGGGAAACCGCAAGTGTCAGGGCAAAATTATTAAAATACCTGTCGCGATCGAAACTAAAATACGCCTTTAATATATAACTATAAGCCTTATATTTAAAGATACACTTTTTATTAAATCGTATCTATAGACTCTTCTAGTTAGTTATTATGACTATATGCACAAAATTTGTCCTGAACAAAATATCCCTGACTGTATCAAAATTTCGTGTGATCATGAAGACCCGTGACACTTAATATAAGTAAAAAAATAATAGTGTGACACTAGTTGTGCAGTTTTATATAGTATAATCATATCAATAACCTTCTTAATTAAAACGTATTCATCATTTAATTTAAGTATAAACTAAACCGGACACGAAGAGAGACAGCACCATATCTATGGACAGCACGCTATACATTTTGAAACAAGATACTTTGTTATTTCCGCTCTATTGCAATTAACATAGATTATTGCAATCTAGTTATGACGCGTTACCGACGGAAAAACGGGTCGGTAAATTTGGCGCGCTTCTCCCTCAAACTTTCCCGCGTTATTGCACCTCGCGCTCTCCCTCGGACTCTAGAGAGACGGACTTGATCCAAGTCTATAACATTATGTGCTAGCTGGGTTACTACCAGTTCATTTGCTTTATTCATGAGTGCTTATATAATTGCAGGTTTATAGATATACCAAATATCTAAACAAACTAGAAAGTATCTTTCAACATTAGGTTTCTGCTTCAGATTTACAAGGTCCTTGTAGACACTATACTATAGTACTCAAGGCTCCATTTTAGGTCCTTTATTTTTCCTAATATACATAAATGATTTATCTGAAAGCTTTAAATAGGACAAAGCCAAGACTTTTTGCAGATGACACAAACCTCACTGCTTCCGGTGGTACAATTGATGATGTTGAAAATGCAGTGAACTCTGATTTGGAAAACCTCAGAATGTGGTTAAACGCGAACAAACTGAGTCTAAACATCGCCAAAACTATGCTCATACGATCAATATCTCTAGTGTATACTGTTTCAGATTCAAATTTAAACATAATGATTGAAAACAGACCAATTAAACAAGTGAAGGAATGCAAGACACTAGGAGTAATAGTTGATCAGCATCTCTCTTGGAAAAGTAACACTGAGAGTATCTGTAAGAAAATCACATCAGCCATTTCTGTTATTAGAAAACTAAAAGAATATGTTGACCGTGATACACTTGTTTCTATATTTAACGCAACTGTACAACCATACTTTACTTGCCACGTAGCTCAGTTGGCAGAGCATTGGGCTAGCATTCCAAAGGTCGTAGGTTCGATTCCCACCGTGGTCAGGCATATTTTTCAAGCTTGCCCGGTGTGGATATACACTCAGAGTAGCATCACAAGCATATTATTCACCTGAGTACATTGCACCAACACAGAAAATATCATACTTTACTTATTGTACGTTGTGAAGTGTGAGACATTTTTGGTGAAACTCAATCACAACGATTACAAAAGCTTCAAAATAGATGCGCTCGAATTATTATGGACATGGGTAACGAAGTTAATGCCCAAATCGCATTAAATTCGTTAGGATGGGAGACGCTAAAAGTACAAAGAACTAATGCTAAGGCAAAATTAATGTTCAAAATTTTGAATATGTCTGGGCCTAAAAGCCTAACACACCTTTTTACCTACAAGAATGAGAATAAACATTACTGTCTCCGTGACAATGAAACAACACTCGTTTTGCCACAGCCCCGCACAAATAGCATGAAAAAGAGTTTTATGTTTAACGGGGCAAAAATATGGAACTCAGTGCCTAAAGAAATCAGAGGAATTAGGTCCCAGTCTCTATTTGAAAGAAAAATTGCTGCTCATGTTACAAAATAATATATTTATACATACATATATATATATATATATATCCTTTATTGTAAATAGTTATCTATAAGTTTTGCTAGTTGTCTATATTGTCAATTTTGTCAATTGGAACAGTTAAATTATTTCTATATTCTTTAATTTGATTCCATAAGAGTCATAACAACACTTATATATAATAACTTTTGAACACACGCCCTTCGTGGAAATCAATGTTTTTAATAATTGACGTAGTTAGCGTGTCAAAATAAAATCTATCTATCTATCTATCTATCTATCTATTACAGTTGACCTTACGCAATTCCAAATAAAAGATCATATTACAAAAGGGTATTAAAATGTAAACATACAATATTCTCCTCTTTCTTCTGTCAATATTGGTTATGTTGAGCGATTTATGTCACACTTTTTATCACACTTTTTTTTTTTGCGCTCTCTTTGAATGAATTTTTCCCATTGAAATCGCAGGAAATGGCCTTTCCAGACTTTGGAAATCAACATTTTCCCTGGGGTGCATGCCCGCGGACCCCCCGAGCCTGTGCAGGTCGATCTTATAAAGCACGACCAGTCAAATTCCCTCAGCTTCGCCATTGAACTTTACTCTATGGATACTCGACTTCGACATTAATTTGAACAATTTTATTCGTTGCACCGTGCTAAACAGGGTTCGAAATAACGTTCTGATTATATGTCAAATTTTTAGGCTGTTTTTTTAGGTGAAATTTTTTCCGGCTGTTTTCCAGGCAAAGTTTAGTTATGTTCTGGAGTGGGCATGGGCCAAATAATAGTGATGTAAACCAACACAACAATTATTTGTAAGAACACAGCAATACATTTTATTTTGGGGTAGGAACAAACATTAACAAGTTCTATGTGAATCGGTTCAAAACAATAAGAAATATTAAAAAGCGAAATATTATCTGGCTATAATATATTTCGCCGCGATAGAATTGACTGTGTTGGAGGTGGCATCTTAGTTGCAATAAAGGCTGATATTAAATCAACTCGACATTTAGATCTTGCAAGGAAAAGTGTTGAACTTGTTGTAGTTGAACTTAGTAGACCGGACAGACGGTCATTTTTACTTTACACGTTTTACCGTCCTCCTGATTCTTTGCCTGAAGTTCTTCAGCACCTTAACTCATCGTTGCAAAGTATTCAAGAATCTGACTGTTGTGTTGTTGTTGGTGATTTCAATTTGCCCATGCTGGACTGGTCGAATGATCAAGCTGCGCCTGTTAATATCGGGGGAAACGCAAGTGGTAATGTGCTATGTGAATTGGTTGGAGACAATTTTTTACATCAATTCATAGAAGGCAAGACACACGAAGCAGGTAATAAACTAGATTTACTGCTATGTAATTGTCCTGAGACTATTGAGAAAGTAACCACAACACCAGCTGACGAATGCGGTTTTCCATCAGATCATTATATCATAGATTTTAAAATCAGACTTAAGTTTGAACGCACTAAGCCTATTAAACGCCAAGTCTTCAATTATTACCAGGCAGATTTTGAAAGCTTGCGCCACTCCTTGTCCCGCATCCCGTTTGAAAATATTTCCTCCTATGATAACATTGATGATCGTTGGTCTTGCTGGAAAACATTATTTATAACTGCAGTGAGTGAACATGTTCCTACCAAATTTATCAAAGATATTAACACTCCGCCTTGGATAGATCAGGAAGTTTGCCATCTAATTAGAAAGAAATACTCGGCCTTAAAAAAATACAGAAAAAATAAATCTGATGCCCTCAAAAAAAAACTTCGGGATATTAGTCAAGCTGTTAAATATCAAATTAAGAGAAAATATCGTGAATACCTAACCAAGATCGAGAAATCCTTAAATTCTAATCCCAAAACTTTCTGGAGTTATCATAAGGCTATGTTACATCAAAGAACAAACCATATTTCTGCGATCATTTACAACGGTGTTACAGCAACTAATCCAATTGAAAAAGCAGAACTACTCAATGCTTATTTTACCTCTGTGTTTTCCAAACCAACTGCAAACACGGATTATGCGAATTTTCTGAATTATCAGGAGTTTTGCTCAGAACTTGCTGAATTCCAATTGACTACGGACGAGGTCCTTGCTTATCTGAATTCTTTGGATACATCTAAAGCATGTGGCCCTGATGGGATACCAGCGCGTTTACTTAAAGAGTGCAGTTTCCAGATAGCACCCAGTTTGTGCGATTTGTTTAACTATTCTTTACACATAGGACGTCTTCCATCAGAGTGGAAAGCAGGTGATCATGACATCACTCCGATACATAAAAAAGAATTAAGAGAACCAGCTGAAACTGTTATAGACTCACATCACTTCTTCCAATTATAGCCAAAGTCTTGGAACGTTGTGTGAGTAAAAGGTTATATAATCGCGTAATAAATGCTATTTCTCCACAACAACATGGATTTGTAAGGAATCGTTCGTGCGTAACTCAACTCTTACAAGTGCTTCATTTAATCGGACAAAATCTAGACGAAAATATCCAAACAGATATACTGTATTTAGATTTCGCCAAAGCCTTTGACTCCGTCGACCATAATTTGATAATAGAAAAGCTTAAGTTTTTTGAAGTTAAAAGGGATGGTTCTTAATTGGTTTCGAGACTATTTTTATAATCGGACTCAAAGGGTTGGAAGGGGTATGCTCTGGCTGGACACATGTGACTTTTGCTGTACCTTAGGGCAGCATACTGCATGGGACCTTTGCTGTTTGTTATTTTCATAAACGATCTTTCGAATATTGTGTCACAGACAACGAAAGTTGCGCTATATGCTGACGACACCAAATCATTCAGAGGAATAACTTCCGGAGGTGATTCTTGGGACTTAAACAAGCTCTATCTAATTTGTCGACCTGGAGTAGCAACAACATTTCTTTTAACGAGTCGAAATGCAAGACGATGACATTTACTAGGAATAAAGAACCTATCCCCTTTATCTATCATCTTGACCTGTTTCCTATCAATACAGTACAAGAAGAAAAAGATATCGGTGTACTTAAGACCAGCAGCCTATCATGGGATTCCCGCATCCAAAGAATATCTGCGAAAGCCAATAGAATGCCCGGGCTACTGAAACAAACCTGCCCTCTCTTGACTCAAGGTGAGAGATGTTTCGTATCGAGACAGGTTATTCTAAATATGTTACCTTTATGTTATGATCGAGAAGAAAGAGACTTGATGTTCTTTTATAAAGCTCTCCATGGACTTTGCGACTTTAATTAAATGTGGAAGACTTTGTCTCCTTTGTCACTCATGGGCGAACACGTCTTAGTAGTAAATCCACTGTTGTTTTAAAAATACCATATTGAAAAAAAACTACATTTCAGGCCTCATTTTTTAATCGGATTTAAAGATATGGAACTCTATATGCAAAGTTGCCACATGTAGCAGCTTTACTAGCGTCACCACATTTAAAACGTTCTTAGTCAATCATTATAATAAGCTTATATTGAATGTTTTTTATGCAAATTTGACCTGTACTTGGTCAGTTGTCAGAGATTGTGCTTGTCACAGGAGTTAAAGCACGTTTACGCGTTACGACTGGTCGGGTTTTTATGATTGATGTCACCAAATGACGTTTTATCTGGCTTATTAATAATTATTTTAACATAGGTCCTATCACTTTGGCGTGAATGCGTGTAAACGTGCTTTCAACGATTTTAAATTTTAAATTTATGTAAATTTGTACATGTCGACAGAAGTTAAATCGGCAGGTAGCCTCGCATGGGCTCAGTATTATGGCCCGTTCGCTATTTTCCCGTTTAGGAATTGCATGTTTGTTGTATTTGTACGTTATTAATGCAATATATTTAGTTCCTAATAAAGCTGTTAAAAAAAGTTATGCGGCGATTTCTTGCAAGTAATTCGCTGGCAATTCTCTCGTTGATTGCGATTAAAAATAGCCAGCGGGAGAGTCGAGAGGGACAGGGGGCCCGTGTTCACAAATCGTTATTTTGTCCCGAGGCCCGTGGTTGGCTCTCGTCGGCCTTGGAATTGGCCCAGGCTGACATTTGTCCACTAGCTCTGTTAGATTCGGCAAATTTTCAGTAAAAGTTTGGACTCACCTAAATATCATTTCGTGCAGTTTTAGGACAGTCTACATAAATAGCAAAAAGGCTTTCCTCGGAATCTTTTAAATTTCTAAAATTTCTTAAAACTTACAATTCAGATAAAACCTTATCACTTAACACTTAACAAAAATCTTGTTTTTAAGGATAAATCCTAGGGATGGGAGAGCGCTGCAATACCTCATGGGAATTGATATCAAATAACAGATGAGAATTTTTTATTGAGCATGCAGAGGCGCAGGAAGCGGGTGCGGGTGTGGGGGGGGGGGAGCAATGTTATTCAAGGGGGCCGAATAGCACATCCCTCCCCCTCAAAAATGTTTTTGAACCTTTACCAGACAAAATGCGATGCGATGATAGTGATGATCTAGATCTTTGGAAAGTAGCAAAAAATTTTTTGGCTCTTTCGAAAGACATTGACAATATTCAATGATCATTTTCTAAAATAACAGTAGGAGGTTGTTGTTTCACCAAAAAATTCGATTAAATTTGTTAGAAAAAATGTTGCGTAATATTTTGATTTCCTAGCTGTATATAGACATAGCTCATGTATTTTTCGTTTCTCCTCCACTGTTATTCCTGCAAATTCATTGTCAACATTTGTAATATTATTTGATTTTGGAATTTCATCTTTATTATGCTTGTGGTGTTACTCTGAGTGTGCATCGTCACCAGGCAAGCTAACAAGTTTGCCTGACCACGCTGGGAATCAAACTCGCGACTTTTGGGATACGTATACTAGTCCAATGGGAATGCTCTACCAACTGAGCTACGAGGTCAAGTCATGCAGTTCGAATTAGTGATATTTCGAAACTGAGTCTACTTCCTTAGATACCAATGTATTTATAAGTAATAGCATAAAAAGAAGCGAATTAGCTATTAAAACGTCCCGCCCGATGAGGGTCGTTTAGTATAATTCCCTTGGGCGCCGCTCGATGAGGGACATTTAGTAAAATTCCCGAGGGCCGA